CTGATGAGTGAGGAGTGGAGAGAATGAAAATGGCAAACCCTAGGTCTAAGCAACCTTTTATACTAGACCTAAACTTCGGATATCGGACGGGTTCGGATGGGATAAATCCTAACCCTAACCGTCCGTATTTTATAGCCCAAGATTTTCGGACGGCTTTAGACCATATCCGATCCGAAGCTCTCGGATATCCTCACCGTGATGCGAATCGAAGTTCGGGTCGGGCAGGTAGTTCGAGTAGGACGGGTTCTGCACAGTCTTACTATTATCTTCATGGGAAACAAGACAAAAGCAGCACCGCCAACCAAGAACACGGCCACAAACACGCTTCAAGGAACATCCCCTTCCGGGGTGCCTCCTTTTCCAACACTCATGCCATGGATCATCTTCCATGATGCTCAAGAGGAAATTGTTCAAACATTATATTCCTTGCATGTGGACGTCTGAGTCGTTATTGTTGTTAATAATATCACTAACAAGTGTTTTGTCATTTTTGGACCCTCGCACAATTGTGTGCATATCAACCGCACCAGCTTGGTTTGGCCTAGTCTGAGCATACGAAGTGTTTTCTTTCTTTGTTGATTAAGCTTGGCTCTGAGAGTTTGAATTTGGAGAGCAGCGGCTTAGTGATATCAACCTCAACGCACATTCTTGCAAATTTACCTCGAGATACAATGCTCGTTGCCGTATTTTGGTTCTCCAATTTTCTCACCTATATATTCTCATAAGGAAATCAACGCCATAGTACTTGACGAGAAGATCAGGGAATCGCACCCACACTAACACCCTCTCAGTTTTATCAGTTTTGGGGTCAAAGTTTGGCCTCCAGTCTTGAATTGCATTATTAAATAGTGATCCATCACCCTCCGATCCATATTTTGCAAATCCATAATCATCTATGGACCAAAACTGAAAATTGTGAATCTTGAATGCAAGATAAAACCTAACTGATTTTTACTCATTTTTTTTTTTTGAATGAATTAGCCACATGTATTTAGCACTGTATTAGGAACAGAATAAATAATAAAACAGTGAATGAAAAGTAAAATGAACCAGGATATGTTCACGCAGTTCGAAAAATCACTCCTACGTCTGCGGGGCCACACATAGGTGAACCCAACTCAACTAGATGATCAAAGATGATACAGTTCAACAGATTTCCATACAACTTATATGGCCTAATCTACTACAGTAACCACTCATCATCATCTTCTGAGTTGATTTTTCTCCACCTATATTGGATGTATCTAAACAATCTTCCTGAAACAAGACTAGATTACCACATGACTTTGAGCTAAATAGACATTCAAAACAAAGAAGGCTGATACAATCAATAGAATTAACACATGTAAAACAGCGCGAATAAGACTGAAACAGTAGGGAGATAATTGATGTCTTTTAAATCTCTTTTCTTTCAGCATTTGAACTCTTGAATTTCCTCCAATTTATACTTGAATATCTTCTGACAAAATCCCCCAAAAGCTTTCCTTGAAACATGGAAAACCATTCAACCAAATCTTCTCCCTAAAAATATTCATCTCTTGTTTGAATGAATGAGAACTATAATATTGAATCTTCATTACCAAATCACTCTAGCATAATCTTAACTATAATATAGTCATATGGTTTGGTGAGCAATTATTGTTACAATTATTATCTCTATCCTTATTATTATTGTATTCTTTAATTTTTTTGGATCTTCTATATTATTATTTAGAAAATGGTGATGATGATTAATAGTCATTTATATTTATAAATAATTGTTTGGTCTTTAAAGGTCAATTGTATGTTGTTACATCTAGAGTTAGAAATCTCAAAGATCTAAAAATTTTGATCCGTGGTAACTCTGAAAATTGTAATTCAATTATTGTTGTAGTTTACTAAGTTCTTAAAAATTTGTAATATTAAATACTACGGAGTATGTACTAAATTTTTAATATAGTTTAAGATTTGTAGTAATCATCCACCTTAAATATCAATTCTTATTTTAATTATAAATATATTTATGTTCATAATTTTATCATAGCAATTCACACATAATTATTAAATAACAAAATTTTTATATATAAATAAACCTCATATAAGGTATATTTTTATAACATATTTTCCGTACATCGCACGAAACAAATACTAGTTAATTAATATAAGCTAACTAAACTTTAATTAATTTAGACTAACAAATAAAATTGCCAAATATACTATTTCACTTACAAAAACTTTACCTAGTGATACTAATCATCCAATCTAAGGCAACAACATCCATTCTAGCTTGCTTTAGAATGCCAAAGTGCATTTATATATCCGTTTAGACAGATACGTATAACCAACCTTGCGTCCCAGGACCTTCACGATCACAGACTGCGCCTTCTCAACCGAATGGTTTGTTTATTTCCTCCTTCGCCATCCATCTGAGATTCCACCCTCTCCATCGCCTCTGTTTGCGCCAGGAGGTAGCCTCTGCCTGTGACGTTTTGGATTTCTCCGTACTACGTTTAAGGATTTCTCAATTTAGACTATATTATAGATCTTAAAAGTCAAAGGCATTATGGTCGAGCGACATAGCTATGGACCTTTAAATGAGAGATAAGTTGAGAAAATATGTTTAAACAAATACTACATTATAATAAAGTCAATAATATTAAAAATAAAAAATAAAATAAAACTTATAAACCCGTCTCAAGACCTATGTATGTAAGCATGTAACTATGAACATGTGGAGTATTTTTTTTAAGTTTGAATATTTATAACAATAGGCAATGAATTCTTGAAATAGGTCAAGTTTAGTTTGAATTTAATTAATTAGAACTATACTTTTTTTTCATACAATAAAAGAATAGGAATAAATGCTAAAAGACTACACAAAATGGGGTAAGATCATTTCAACACAATTAGTTATTAAAAGTGAGTTAATCCCGTTAGAAGGATTATTAAGATTGTATAGGCTAACTTGAGCACCTTCACACTTCGTGATCATCGAGTCTACACTAGGGGTGTAAACAAGCCGAGCCGAGCTCGAGCTTGGGTAGGCTCGAGCTCGTTAATGAAGACTCGGCTCGAGTTCGAGCTCGAGAACTGATGCTCGAGCTCGAGCTCGGTAAGCTCGAGTTCGAGCTCGATTTTGACATTAAATTTGACATATTTAATACTTTTGATTTAAAATTCAAACTATTTTGTTTTATCCATGCATAAATAATAGAAATCTTTTAGGGATTTTAAGTTTAAAATTGTAATTTCTAATTGTTATTTTTATACTCCCTCCGTCCCGAATTGGATGTCTCATTTACTTTTTGCACGCTTTTTAATGAATTAAAGTAAATGTTATGCACTTTCCAATTATGCCCCTCACTTTTTCACTTTTGGAAATAAAAACAATAAAGAAAGCAAAAGCTAGAAGGGTAATTTGAAAAAAAGTGGAATGATAGTGATGTTCAATTTTGGAAAGTGGACAACATTTTGGGACAAACTAAAAAGGAAAGTAAGACACATAAAATGGGACAGAGGGAGTATATTATTATTATACTAGTATTTGTCCTGTGCGATGCACGGAAAATATGTTATAAAAATATATCCTATATGAGGTTTATTCATATATAAAATTTTTGTTATTTAATAATTATTATGTGTGAATTCCTATGATAAAATTATGAACATAAATATATTTACAATTAATATAATATTTAAGGTGGGTGATTACTACAAATCTTAAAATATATTAAAAATTTAGTACATAGTATTTAATATTACAAATTTTTAAGAACTTAGTAAACTACAATAGTAATTGAATTACAATTTTAGAGTCACCACGGATCAAAATTTTTAGACCTTTGAGATTTCTAAATCTAGATGTAGCACCATACAATTGACCTTTAAAGACCAAAATCACAATCTTAGGGGGGTGTATTCAATCCAGACTTTTAAAGAGTTTTAAAGACTTTTAATGACTTTCAAAGTTTGGGGGTATTCAATTTAGACTTTTAAAGACTCTTTAAAAGTCTACCGATATTCGATTCAGACTTTTCAAAAGTCTTTAAAAGTATATTGGTATTCGTTTGAGACTTTTATAGAGTCTGTAAAAGTCTACTGGTATTCAAATATTTATCAACTTTCATAGACTCTATCAGAATAGGATTTCTGTGGACTTTTTCTTCATTAATATAAATAGATGAAATCTGACCCTCCAACCCAAACTTTTCAATTTTCTCTATAGACTTTTATCTCTATCTCAACCAGATAATTTTTTCATCAATTTCTACCAAAATTTACGATACATTTCAAACTTTTCATAAAACTATACTTTATAATTTGTTTTGTTTATACAATTTAGTTTTAATTTGCTGCTGTGAACATTGATTTTTTCTTCCAAATACTATCGAATTAAGTGTGTAATCAATAAAAGATGAGAACTAATAATTCGAGAACATAATCTTAATGTTACTAAGCCTACTTCACGTCAATTAAGTTGGAGAGTGTTGCTGGATAGTATCCGATGAATCCACGAATAACGCATCTTTGTCTCCGTAGTCCTCAATATGCACATCAACAATCTTTGTCTCCGTAGTTCTTAAAAATTTGTAATATTATGTATTATATATATTATATATTATATGGCTCGCGAGCGGCTCGATGAGCCACGAGCCTAAAATATCTAGGCTCGGCTCGAGCTCGATTACCAAACGAGCAACTCAAGTTCGATTTTGACCGAGCCGCTCACAAGCGGTTGTGAGCTACTCGGCTCATTTACACCCCTAGTCTACAGATCTATAACCTTACAATGCACATGCCTTAAGTGACAATCTCAATTATTAATTAAGATCACTCGAATGGTATTAAGGTGAAAATGTAAGCTGTACAATTTGCTGAAATGCACTTCTCTCCTTGTATTTTTCTCATCTCTATATTTGTTACGGAGAAGTGTATTTCTTAGCCTGTAGGACAGCAATATGGTGTCTGACTGTCTGTTTCTCTATTTGTGAGTTGAGCTCTAATTGTTAAATAAATGAGTCTTTTAGGAGTAGAAGTTTTATTCTACTAAGGGGTATTTGGAGGCCTTATACTAATACTACCCCAATATGTAGCAGAAAAATAATGTGAGTACGAAGACGTTGTTATGGAAAACATTTACATTGATCTAAGTTCAAACTTCAAAGTGCTTCGAGGTGAAGTACTACTGCACAAAGCTTTTAAGATAGCCTAAATACCTACATTGCCTCTGCCGGAAACAGCCTCTCTTGTCACAAGCTTTAGTCCCCTCACCCACAACTCCGCCATCTCAAATCCACCCTCACACACAAAGTGCACTTCCTTGCTCTTTGTTGTGATGACACGAAATAGTCCTGCCTCTTCTGCGTCACCCTTCCGTTGCCTAGTTTTTCGAAAGCAAATGCTGGGGCCGACTTCTGCTGCCTGGCATATCACATTGCGCCTGCTTGATTTTCCCCAGCACAAGATTCCGCCTTCCAGCATTCTAACTTCTTTTATGTGCAGACCCCCTTTGCCTCCCTTTGTGTGTTTCTGTAAATGGGAGCCAGTTAAGACCAGTTTTCGAGCAAGTTCGTCTAATATGATGTGCTCTGCCTCATTTTTATGTTTTGTTCTTGCTAGTGAGAGCGCAGTTTCACCCTTTGCATTCTTGGCGTTACAACAAGCTCCGTGAGAGATCAATAGTTCACATGCCTGGCTGTGACCTTCACGGGCTGCCAGTATAAGTGGTGTGTTACCATCCACGTCAGATACGTTTACGTCATAACCCCTACTTAATAACAGTTTCACCGCATCCAAGTCACCCCGACGAGCAGCACAATGTAGAGCATAAAATCCTCCAGCATAACGGTTACCTTGTTCAATAGCGAACTCGAGCAAAACCTTTTCAAAGAGATCACGCTTGTGATTCAGGGCACAGAGTGTTAGTGCTGTGTCCCCAGACTTATTGCAGAGTCTGACATTGGCTCCAGAGAATACAAGCAACCGGAAGGTATCAACATGGCCTTCCCTTGCAGCAACCATAACAGCAGAGAAACCGTTTTCATCTTGATTATCAAGATTGATCCCTTGCTCAATGAGAGCTTTTAGTGCCGAAACATCTCCAGATTGAGCAACAAACAGTAAAGGAGAGAATATGGACATATTGCTTGACTTAGGAACCTTTCCATTGCGGATGATGCTCAGGACTGCTTCCTGAAAACCAAGCTGCCATCGGTTGGAACCAGCAATCGAACTTGCTGATTGACCGGCTGTATTTACTAAGCCTAAATCAGCACCATGTCTTAGCAAGATTTTGAGGCACTCTTCTTGTTTGTATCTAGCACAGATCATAACACCTGTCTCACTGGCTTCTGTTTTTGAATCTAAGTCACAGCCAAAGTCAATTAGACACTTGAGAACAGTTGAAAATCCAAGGCGTACAGCCATATGTAAAGGGCAGAACTCAGTTTTCCGGGTGGTTTTAACTGGAGACTCCACATGAGCACCACATTCTAAAAGTACCTTGACAGCTCCTGCATTGCCACAAAGAATGGCATGATGTAACAGAGTCCTTCCACAGTGAGACACGTTAGGAGGCATGTGCTCGAGAAGAGAGCGCAAAATGGCACCACTTTCTTCAAAGTATTCCACAGCACACCAAGTAATATCATAGGGATCAGCTAGCCCAGCACCTACTCTGAATTCTTCACCTGAAGCTGCATCCCATGACCATGCTCCAAGCCGAACTTTAACATCAGTTTTAGCACCAGCCTTATTTTTCAAATATGGGAAAAGACATCATTCAAATGTTTTAAACATGGAAAGAAAAGAAATATCAGGAATTTCTACTTCAAAAGACAAGCATAATGCATTTTTGCTTTTTAATGATCTTTTTGGTTTTTAATCACTTGTTTAAAGGATTTTGATAACGAATATAATTTAAATCTTCTGAAGGATCTTGAATAGGAACATAACATAAGTAAAAGTTGTGTACTTGGAGAGCATTTAATCCAGCAGCAATTACCTCAAGCAGAAGAAGGACTACTGAGACTTGTCTACTAACGATAGCAGCCACAAGAGCTGTACAGTCAACATTTGTGTGCAGAGAAGGTTTGCATGACTGGAGAAGCACACGACTAATTGCATTCACATCCACTCCACACTGTCACCACAAAGACAGCAGTGATGTCAAGATAACAATTATACTGTAGGTGATGGGGTAAAGAGGGAGGCTTACTGTTTTTGATAATCAACAAAAGAAAGAAAATGGATTACCATAAATGATGGAAATTAGTACATTTTTTTTTGGCAAGGAAAATGATCATTTTTAGTACATTATTTAAGGGTGTGTTTGGTTGGTGGGTTTTGCACATAGGAATGGGTATGAAAGTGATTGTTGTTGTTTGGTTGATGGATTTTTAGAACACTACTATGGGTTTCGAATATCCCATCAATTGAAAAATCCATACCCAAATACAATAAGGGTTTCATTCCCTTATTCATTCTCAAGCACTACTAATAGTAACCATTCCCATTCCACCCTACTACCAAACATCTTAAATACTTTCACCAAAACCCATTACCATTACCAAGTATTTGATACCCATTCCGATTCCGATTCCGATTCCGATTCCAATTCCTATGTGCGAACCAAACACACCCTAAGTCGATTTCAGTTTTTGTCAAACTAAAGACTGACAGAATAAGCTGGTTGGAAATATATGATTATCCCCACTGAGAATCTTAAGCAGCTCAGAGAATGGGGTTTAAACTCATTTCAATCTCACCTTCAGGAGAGCATCCACCACATTTGCAAATCCCCTGCAGCATGCAGTAAAGAGAGCATGTACAGCAATGCGAGGCCGAATGAGGTCAGATCCCATTAACAACTCTGCTATCCTTGCATGTCCATAACAGCTGGCTTCTAGCAAAGCTTCCTCACAGGCCTGTTGAGAAGCCCCAGCCTTGATTAACATCTCCAAAATCTCAAGGTGGTTCTCCCTCACAGCTACTGTAGTAGCATATCCCCTGAAAAGTTTCTGGTTCACATCTGCTCCAATACTCTGCCAAATAGAAAAGCAAACTTTCATAAACCATTTCAAGTGCCAAACTGGTATAGAACACAAAGAAATTGTTGCATTCATGAACTTACAGATGATGTTCTTTCAAATTCATTTAACAAAATGAAGAGTATGAAGACACGATTAGTTATATTGAACCATGTTCCGAAGGAATATACACTTCGAAAAATAGTTCTATTACTATGTGCTTGTCAGCATCATGGAAGAAAATTTTCAGTGTAGATTTAATTAGATTCTGGTTTCTGGTTTAATTGAAGTATTTAATTGTATGGAACAAAAAAAAGCCCCATTACTTGGCAGTTTGGCTGCTGATAACATAGCCGTGTGGGCATAGTTATGTAGAGCAGTGGTGCTGAGTACCGCCATTATAGCTCATACCCTATGCTTCCAGCAATAAAGAATCTATTTGATGTATAAAGGACAAGTGCTTTCAGCCAAACACAAAAATAGAAAAAGAAGAAACCGAAGTGACATTCATAGTAGTGCTCATTTGAGAAAGGTTTGAGGAAACTTAGTTCTTCACAAATAGCAGCACACTACTTCTTGACTTTTCAACTTTAATTCAATAAAGAACAGGATAGAACCAACAAAAGAGTTCCGCCTCTCAGAAATCAGATTTGCAGTCTCAATATGGTACCACATGTTAAAATAAAGATGACCATAAAGACAAAGCTGAGAGAGGAGGAGCAGCAAGTGTACTAAAAAGTGAAAGCCCATTCATTGATGTATGGAAATCCCTAAAGAAAGCCCAAGTTGTCGTTAACAGTCCCCTGAGTGAGCTAATTGCTCTATAAAACCTATTTGATGCAGATAGAAAAGCATTCTGGTATGAAATATTTGGAAAAGAGATGATGAAGAGAGGTCAAGATAATACTACGTAGTAAATTCAGATTAAAACTATGAATTTAGGCAATGTAAATCAGATAAATAGATCAATAATCCAACTTGGGAAAATTCGAGTGCTTTATGATCAACTAAATGAACAAGGGAATGCAAGCAAACTGTTGTAAATAATTGGTTGCAACTAGAGATCTAAGCTAAACATAGTAGCAATGAGAAAACAGCTGGTGAGCCTTAAAAATTCAGATAGTGACAGATATTCTGATAGTGGATCCCGCAGGTATTCAAAATTCAAAGCAAAAGTAAAAGGTCAAGGTTCGTTTAGCAACAATTTGAATTTGAATAAAGCACCAGTGAGTAGTAGGACGAATCCAAAATGCATCCCAGGTGAGCAAAACCTCAAGAGACGCATTTAGCAACCAATCAATAGAAGCATACAGTAGAATTTCCAAAAGAAAGAAAAACAAAAAAATTTATACTCAGAGAAACCATAGAATAGGAGGCTCGACACCGGTTTTATAAATGAGAGCTGAGTTCAGATTCGCACTCACCAGCAGTTTCCTCACGAGTGCGACATTGCCGTTATGCACGGCCAGGAACAATGCGGTGACGTCGGTCTTAAACTCCTCGTAACCGACTCGAACTTCGTTGGGAGACTCCTCGCGCAGCACCACCTCCGCCTTGCGCACCTTGAGACAAACATCGCCGACGAAGTTGACGTCGACGAAGGAATCCTGGAGGCACTCAAGCGCCGCTGCTAGATCGTTGGAATGCGAAGCTTCCAGAAGGCGTCGTGACACCTCAGCTTCGTAGTTCACCGGAAAAACCTGCTTTCCGGCCAGGAAACCGCCGCCTCCACCTGAATGTCCAAAAACAGTCATTTCCTGCCAAGCAAAACACTGTCACTGCCTCTTCTGTTCCTCTGTCTAGATCTATCAGTGTCTATATATCTCTACAGAGAAGAAGCAGCAGAGGAATCATCAGCAGAATTGTTTAATACTCTCTTTGTCGCTCTCTATCTCTCTCTGCGGGAGAATGGAGACGCGAGACTCGAGGTGGAGTGGGTGAAGGAAGGAAACTTGAAAGAAGTGAGCGCCAGGAGACCGGACAAAATGAAGGCGTTTTAATAGGGTTGAGATTGACTTTAACCATGGTTAAAATAATGTTTTTACCAGGCGTGGCAGGTTTGTACATTTATCATTTACGCGTGGGGCCACCTGGGATTAATCCTTCTTTACTCCCGTATTTCTTACTCCTTTTCATTTATTTTTTTAATAAAGTTTAAAATTCAAATTGTATGAACAATTTTACCATGGGAATACTAAAAATTTAAAGAGGTTGTGACATGTTTGTAAATAAAGAAATAATTTTTTAATATAAAGAAGAGGAAAAATTGTATTTTTTATTTTTAAGTTATAAGGTAATTTCATCTTTAAATGTTGATCGTGCTCACGTTTCACTCGAAAGCTATCATTGATGTTGCATTTTTCATCTTTTTATTAACATTTTATGTTCACTTTTCGTCCCTAAGGTCCTAAACTATACTAAAATTGCAAACTTTGCTCCTAATATTTTGTTAGTAAATGAACAAAAAGTGCAACACCAATAATAACTTAGAAACAAAGAGTGAACGTGACTAATAATTACACACAAATTTTACAATTATGTATAACTTAGAGGCGGAAAGTATTCACATGGACTTAGCTCAATGATTTAGTGGACACTATTTGAGAGAAGAAGGGAAGACGCGAAAAGTGCAAATTTTCCCTAAATAAAGAAACACACTATTAAATTCAAGCATTATAAATAATATAGTCAAATAACTACCGTACATTATCAACCTGCATGGTCAAAGATGAAATATCATTAGGAAAGAAAGTTACAAACTTACAACATGCTATACCTAAGTCGAAGCAATTAGTATAATTTGTACATTAATTAGTATAATTTGTACATTTTTTTTGAAAGTTAGACTAATTATTATATATAATTTAAATAATATATTATTTTATATTGTACTAAAAATTGTAGCATGGAATCTCTTTTCCCAAAAACTACTAGTGCCGATGAGAATGGGATAATTCCGCATCCACTGTTGGAAATTATGGAATTTTCAACCACCTGAAAGTGATCTTAAATTAAGTCGAAAGTAAAAAGTGGTCGGAAATAGCAACAAAGGTTTTTCCGAATACCGAAAGTGGTCGGAACAAGACTTTCGACTTGATTTAAGATCACTTTCAGGTGGTTGGAAATTTCATAATTTCTAGTAGTGATCCCCTCCAATGAAAGAGGCAGGGTTGGGGAACGAGGTACGAAATTGAGGGAGACGAAGGGGGAGACGAAGACCCTACTTCCCACTTTCCATGCTCATTAAATGCGACAATTTCATTTTCACCCCCAACAAATTGTAAATAAACCGTATAAACATTACTGTCTCATTAGCTTTATTTTGATGTAATATAACATTATCAAGTAATCTCATAACTTAAGCTAAACAATGTAATATAACATTACCAGACACAGATTACTCAAATAATCTATATTATCTGAACCAAACGCCCCCTAAAGGCATCTCCAATATTACTCCCTTCCTTCTGAGTTTTATTTCTTCACATAATCAATACAACACTCATTTATGTTCACATTATCACTTATATGTGTGTGTGCGTGCGTGCGCGTGCGCGTGCGCTTTCAATTTCATACGTATGTGTGCACTTCATATTCTATTAGTGTGCACTCTAGTATAGACTCATGTGCACATGTAAATGTGTGATTCTATTTTAGTATGCACATTCAATCTAAGTATCAAGTATGTTGGTTGTAGTGTGCACTAAATTTGGCATTGTGTGCATTGCTAATTTGTTAGTGTGCATGTCGTCATTTATGTCAAGTCATTGGTCGTTATTATTGTCTTTGGGTTCATATGTTCACACATATGCTATTGTGCGAGGTTTTAAAGATGTACATTCGTGTTGATTTTGTTTGTGCTCAATTTGTGAAAATATTCATTAATGCACACAAATTTGTGTGTGTGTGTGTGTGTGTGTGCGTGCATGTTTGTTGGACATGACCCATATAGTTTTAATTGTGTGCTTACATGAAATTAAATAAATTGAAGAAGGCAACTACCATGTAGTGTGATGACATCCCGATTATCATTCCAAATGGATGGTCATAGGTTTGAACCCTGGTGGTGGGGACTTAGATTCTTTGGGCTTCTTTGGGGAAAATAGCAACGTCAACGCACGATCTGGAAGCCTTTTAGGAAGCACGGACACTATTGGTGTATGGTTGAAAGGAAATCTGTGCCGTGTTACAATAACACTACCTTAAAAGCGTTATTTGCCCGGTAACGGTGCAGTTAGAATCCTGGCACGCTTTCGACAGGCTACACAGACCTACTACGGACAGCTTGCACTAGCAATCACGTAGGCGAACCTCACTATTGCTCAGGCCTTAACCGATAGACACAAATTATATATATTATATTATAATATATATTAATTCTTGTATAGAAAGAAGGAAGAAGCTTTTTTCCTGCCTTTAGACAAGATTTCCTTGCTTGTTTATATAGTGTGTAGGAAGGTGAAGACACCTTTTGTCCCAACCACATAATAGCTACAAGCAAGGGAAGTGGTAATGACAAAAGGTCATTTAGCCACATCATGTAGACAAATGACGGAAGTCATTTGTTGGCTCCCCAATAATTAAGGCCGATTGTTTGAATGGATTATATCCAACAATCCCCCACACATTCAAAGTAGAGGCTAGAAGAAGGTAAAGTCTGAGCAATACAAATGAGTTGATCTTAATGTCAGTGTTTGAGAATTTGAACTGACACGTAGTGACACTGAGTAATTTTCTTCCCGGGAGTGATGTGAATCTTGAACTCACCGGTTAGATAAATTTTGAACTCGAATGCACACACCAACTCAAAAAGCAGGTCCTACAAAAGTCAAACTCTTTGACTTCTTATGAACACCCTTAGTATTAAAGAATGTTACGTCTGTCTCAAATATAGACTTCTACTATACCCTGTCAAAGTCTATCACAACATAAACTTTTAACTCTGACAAGTCTTACAACATTATAGATTTTACGTCTTGTGAAGTCCATCTCAATACAGACTTTTAACTCTATCAGGTCTATCTCGGTATAGACCAACATTAAAGGCTTATAGAGTAGTTAAAGACATAAATCAGTTGTAAGTCTTTTCTTTCTATCACAGGCACTGTTATTGGCAACGCAAATGATTGTGAATCACAATGTGGTGAAGGTGTTGGACACCCCCACAATTACACGGTTATCACCATGTTTCTTAGCCACTCAGCTTCTTGAGATAACCCCATTATCTTTCATAAGAGGCGGTTAGCCCTTTTCTACTCAAGTTAGGGGTCTCTTTAGGTCTATCTCAACATAGACCATCCCAATTGAGTATAAGAGGCTAAACTTCCAATGTGGGACAACATGGATAGGCAAAAGGAAGCCTTTCCTTTTAAATGCTCCCAACAATCCCCCACCATTAAGGGACTTAGGCTGATGCTGTCATTGCCTGACAACGATCAAAACAAATTTTCATGCCAGTGTATAAAACTTGAACTGTCATATAGTGATGAAATTTATATAAGCGCAGCACACAATGATGTTGAAACTGACGTTGTAACACAAACGATCTGTAACGCAGTTCGGGCAAACAACCCTAATCTGCGAGGCACTTCTCAATTTGAGAACTTGCCTAAATCCACTAAAAGCTCAATATTTAAAGTACACTGTTTGGAACCTGAGATTACACAATAGAATGATCTTTCCTACCAAACTATTGAAACCTAAACACATGTACTACTTTCTAGGGGAATTTAGTATCCTATTCTCAAAGACTCTCGTACCTCACAAGATTAATGTTGAATGCTTGAGTTTTACAAGAAGGAACAACCCCTATTTATAGTAGCTATTCCTAACAGATTCGTGAATAATAAAGCTATTCCTAATCAGACTAGAACTAAATACTTCAATAACAATTCCCTTTAGAACTAGTACTCTTCAATAACTACTCCTCTTAGGCTTGGTATTCCTTTATAGATCTGGTATTCCTTTTGCACATAACTTTGACAAAACACTTTGAGTCAACAATCTCCCCCTTTGTCAAATTTTTGGCAAAAACCTTGATCTCATAGTGGCTTGATTTCCTATTCTTCTCCCCCTTAGTTGATTCTTCTCTCCCTAAACTTGATTCCTGGAGTTCTTGGAAAAAAAAAAAAAAAACTTGAAACTTGTATTTGAATGTGTGAGTGAAGAGAATTCTTCACTGTCTCTGTACATTTTACCAATGTGTGGTAAAGTAGATCCACACAGTCACAAAAGTAGAGGATTTGATCATAGATAAGTTCAAGTGGTTTTTGGATCTGTAAATCAAACTTTGCCATTCACGCAGGGCAAAGCCCGCCTCATGCATTTCATTTGGAGGAGGAAGCCCCGGGCCATCAGAGATGAATATTCCGGTGGAATCTTCTCCGAGATCATATGGATTTCCATTGTCGTTTGAAACCGGAACGGTAGAGGATCCGAAAGCTGGGTGCGGATCCGACCCGAATCCATAGGGATCGGGACTGTGGACGGATTGAGGAAAGTGCTCAACTGTCACTTCATCGTACTCTCCCGGAAATCCCCCGGCTGATTGGTACGGTGGCGCGTATCCGCCGTAACCGCCGTCATCAAACGGCGGAGGAGCCGTTCTGACGTGCTCATCCATGGTAGATACATCGAAGATGCTGATTTCCCCGTCTTCTTTTCTTGATTTTCTGGTGATCCTTCGCACCAGGCTCTCTTCTGGGTTGTTGAGGTAGCAAGAAAATGAAGTCACCCGAAGACTAATGTCATTGGCTTCCATGGAGATTATTTATAATAACCGGACAGTAACGGGTTTTTGATTGGAAATCAGTCTCGTACTTGTGTTCATTTATACAAACCCCTCTCGCATTTGGGTGCGCCCCAACTGTTCGACAGAATTTCGGAGTCATTGTAAGTGCAATCCAAAATTCATATTTTGTTCACATATGTCATAGCTCAACTTTATACCCCAATCATGTATATCTGTTACAGTTTAAGGCTTCATCAATG